CGGGGTCATCATGAGTAGGACTTGACTTGCTGGCAACTAACAACAGGTTCATCTTGAATGTATTCTTTATACCCTTCTCCCCCCATTTGCTGTGCTTGTTACCTGAGGGTTGCTTTTTCAATAAGTTGAAAACCTCAATAAGTTGAAAACTCACCTTAATGAATGAAACGTATCCCCAAATGGAATCAATAATCATCTCTGGGTGGCGGTGCTGCAGAGAAAAGGGTGCTTGTGCTGGTTGCACTTCACCAATCTTCCAGATTTTCCATGGTGTGGCTGATGGAGCTCCATCTTGAAAATGGTGTTAATGCAGGCCCATAACTGACAGGGACAGGAGAGGGGTTCCTGCCCTGATGCTAAGGGAATGAACAAAGGACCCTGTGAGAAGAGGCCTGGTAAACACCTCAACCCTGAAGCCAGGCCATAGTGACGCACGCAGACTTGTGCTGGAAGATCATTCTGAAACATGGTGGCCTGGAGCAGAGGCCCAGAAAAAAAAAACGGAAAGAAAAGATGTATGAGACCCTAAGAAAGAGGCACGGAGGAGCGAATTAGAAAGTGGCTTGACCATCTGCAGGGCTGCAAGGCCCTCCCAATGGCAAGTGCCATTTAAAATCTCCCAAACAAGCATTCCCCTAAAGAATGTCCCTTCCCATCGCCTGCCCTCCTGGAGGGAAGTGTATCTTATCTCTGCCTCAGCTGTCCTTCTCAAGTCAGGAGAGGGACCCACGTCATTTCTTTGGCAGTTCTTCTATACTTCCATAAAACCGTGCAAGAACTCTGCAACCTGACTGGTGTAGCTCTTTGCAAAAAAGCGGTGCATCTCTGGACCCTAACAAAGCACAGGGGTTGGGGGCTTGCCAGTTCCCCAGTGGGCAACGCTCAGGGCCGGACTTCACACACGTCAAAATCCAGGGCAAGTTTTAGGAAAGGGACTGATCAGAGTTTTCAGCAAGAAGAACCGGAGCTGCTCAAGGCCCCAGGCAGTTCCAGAGGCAGGAATGGCGACCTGAAAAGCAAAGCGAAGGGCCAGTGAGCCTGTGGGTAAGGTTTTGTGAGCCAGTCCCCAAAGGGGCCTCCGCAGCCAATCCCAGGGCGGCTGGCTGCGGAGGCCTAGGCAGCAGCCCTGTCCTCGCTAAAAAACAACTTTGCGCCCTTTTTTTCTAGCACGACGGGCGGGGCCGGCGCGCGGCCGGAGCTCCCACACGGCGCCGCACTGCCACCTGCTGGCCAGAGAAACCACAGGTGACAGCACCCAGGGAGAAAGGCTCCTTCCTTCTCGCCGCGTCTCTGCGTTCGGCCGGTACTGTGCTCGCGTACCTGGCTGGAAACGCGCAGCACGCTGGCAGAGAAGTCAAGGCACCACAAGGGTCAGGTTCCAAGCAGCAAAAGAGGCCCGGCAAAGAGCCAGATCCGGGAAACCTCCGCTCCCGCCCCGGTAACCACGGCAACAAGCCGGTGACGTCAATCCGCCAGGCACCGCGTCCCGCCCTCGAGGCGGGGCTGCGCTGGGCTGGGCGGGGCTGGCTGCGCTGGGCTGGGCGGGGCTGCCTGCGCTGGGCTGGGCTGGGCGGGCCCTGGGCCTGGGAGTGGAAGAATGGAGGGCAACCCCTGCCTTTGTCTTTCCAAGTTCCAGCCTGCAGTCGATCAAGTTTGAGAGCATCTTTGCTGTGACCGATAAGCGTCACACTGGAATGCCCAGGTCCTACCATTGGAAGGCTCTCCAGCGCGAGACCCTAACCAGTTTCCTGACACTCTCCCGCAACCAAGCTAGTCACCTTAGCCCCCCTTGGGATTGCATCACTCCCAGGGCACCTGCAGGCCTCCTCTTTGCCCTACCTTCTCCTCTTAGGAAGAGGGGTCACTGCATTCTGGTGGCTGACCTGGCCAACCCCAGAGTCTCTCAGTCCTTAGGGACACTCTCCTGCATGTCGCCTGAGCCTCCATGGCCCTTGGCCCCCAACCTCTCCATCATCTCCACTGGTTGGTCACCATCCCCTGCCCTTCCAGTGCCCCTTTAACTGCAAGGAGACCCAACTCCTCCCACCTAGCTGGGTTTGTCCTCATCCCCAAACCCTTCCTGCCTCTGCTTATGCAGAGCTCCTCCATCCCAGCTCCAGCAAACCTCTTTGGCTCTTCCTCCTCTCCTCTCCAGTCCAACACGCCCACACTGGACACATTCTCTGCACACTCCACAACCACCATCAACACACACACACACACACACACCCCATACTGTCTCAGGAAGAAAACCCGAAAAGACCCGTCCGGAGCCCTCCCCAATTGCACAAAAGCACTACTCTGCACTGTAGTCTGTGTTGTCCCTCTGCAGGAAGTGACCAGCTCCTCCCTGAGGCTGGACCTTTCTTTCACCTCTGCTCTGGATTGCATACCACCCTCGGGTGGGGGGGGGGTGCAGTTGTTCCTCTGTCCTTCAGCAGGAGATCATCCCACCAGGTACTAATGTGTGATTGTTTCTCACACCTTACAAGATATCAAAGTACAAAGTCTTCATCTAAATCATTGAATTGACAGAAAATTCACATATCATACACTTCAGTATTCATATTTGAGAGAATTTTACAATCATTTCCACAATCACTTCTAGAACATTTTTTTCCTTCTCATACTCATTGTTCTTAGCTCACCATTCCTCTCCAACCTCCCCTCCCCCTCCATGCCCACAATTAACCAACAATCCAATGATATTGATTTGCCTATCCTGGATTTCATATACAGGAAAGCTCACCAAGAGTGAGAGAGGGACCCTTAGGAAAAAGGCAACAATGACATAATAAACTAGAAGAAAAACCTCAATGAAAAAGAAAGCAGGAAATACTGAAAACTAGAACAAATTTGAAATGGGTCAAAAAGAAGTTTCAATAATGAGGTGTTAGATTTTACCCTGACTTGTTCTGCAAAGACCCCACTGTTCACTGCACACTGCATAACAAGACAATTCACATCCGTGGTCTGTGGTCAGAGTGGAGTCCCAGGAGGGTTGATCCAGAAGTACTTTCCCTTCTGAAGTGTGAAGTTTGATCCTATTTTCCTCCGAGGTACCATCACACATCCTTGATGCTCCAAGCAGGAAATGTCTCCACTTATTCTATCATCATTTTGACTGCAGTTGAGCTTCTATCCCTCTTTCCCCACAAAGAACCTGCTTCTTTAAGGGGCGTTAAAGCCCTAATTAATCCTTGTGTGCTACATCACCAAGTGCCTTG